AACATGATGTGTGATATTCGCTGCAAGTGGATAATTTGTCTTTCTGGGAAATTTTCCTGCAGACTTGGAGACATGTACTTAATAAGCAAAAAAAATATAGATGACAGTCACCGTGTTTATAATTCCATTTGTTTCCTCGAGGGAAGAAAGCTCATCAGTTATGGTGAGTGAGGGGAGGGGTTCGGGGTCCCTCGGGGAGGGGGATTCGATCAAGATCTCCCTGAATAGTCCCGCTCAGGGCGAGTGGGATTTCAGGATTCCAGCGCTGGCTTCGGAAACAACGTGCAGGGAAAACATATTGAGTCATAAACTCTCACAAGGAACATAATGAAAAGTGAAAACTGTGAGAAACTTCGGGGAAAAATCCGATTCCCAGGAACACACGGAATCAAAGGAGCCTTAGTGGTTTTTCCCCTCTTTCCTCTTCCCTGCTTTCAGGAGTAGGTTCGGAGAAGGAGCAGGAAGTTCTCTTTGACCACCGTGAACATTAAAAAAAAGGCGATTCTCTCTCATCGGTGATGTGTCTCTCTCTCTCTTCCTCTCCCTTCCTCTCTCTGAAATGAAATTTAAAAAAACATCTATAAATAATAAAAGCGTAATATGCTAATTAGGCCAGACGTCCTTCTGGACGTCCTTCCAGATGACCTTCCGGACGAAGCCGGGGCTCCGAGGGAAGCCTGGGTCCCGGGTGCCAGAGGGAAGCCGGTGCCGGCAGCCGGGGGAAGGAAGGCCTACTCCTGCACAAATTCCGTGCATCCGGGCCTCTCATTTTAAAATAAAACCAGCCCTGACTGGTGTTGCTCAGTGGATAGAGCGTGTTAAGTGTTTCCCTCCATGTCCTGCGTTCAGGGTTCGGGTCTGGAAGAGGAGCCGCACAACAAATGAAAAAGAAAAGACACGAGATAATTTGGGAATATTGGGGGACCAGGCGAGCAAGTCCAACTCAAGAGGAAGGACTTCCACTGTGCTCAGGCCTCACCAAGCTTTTATAGTGAGAGGTAAACAAGGTAGGGCCCCCTTCTGCATGCCCCGCAGTGGGGATGTGCCCGCAACCAAGGTATATGCCCCCGACCGGAATCGAACCCGGGACCCTTGAGTTTGCAGGCCGATGCTCCATCCACTGAGCCAAACCAGTTCGGCCAATACAATATATTTAAAATAAAATAAAATAAAATAAAATCAAACCCCGAGTGGGAAACTTGACAGGACAACCAGCCTTTCCAACAAATACACAATAAAAATTAAAACGAGTCCTGGCCGGTGTGGCTCAGTGGATAGAGCATCCGCCCTGGGGACCGAAGGGTCCCGGGTTTGATTCCGATCAAGGGCACGGACCTCGGCGGCAGGCTCCATCCCCGGCCCTGGTCGGGGTGCGTGTGAGAGACAGCCGATCGATGTCTCTCTCTCTCTCTCTCTCTCTCTCTCTCTCGCATCCGTGTTCCTCTCTCTTCCTCCCTCCCTCCCCTTCCACTCTCTCTGAAACAGGAAAACACAAAAAAAGAAAATAAAGGAGGCGGAGGGGAACTTCGAGATCAGCGGGGCTCTATCCGGGGCCCAGGACAGGTCACATGACTCGGGCCGGCCAATCACTGTGCCCCAACCGGTGTGCCCTAACCCAGCTGTGATTGGTCCGGAAGCGGTCACCTGACCACGAGCCGC